GGCAGAAATTACTCTGGATTCTTATTAAATATGTCCTCTGAAGAGCCCATAATATATCATAAGCATTAGAACATGTCTTTACTGACACTGTCCCAAATATTAGAATAAACTTGTCCAGCCAGTGTGGCTCAGTGGTTGAGCATTGACCCAGGCACCAAGAGGTCACCAGTTCGATTCCTGGTCAGGGCACATGCCCAGGTTGTGGGCCAAATCCCCAGTGCGGGGCAAGTAGGAGGCGACCAATCGATGTTTTCTCTCATCAATGTTTTTATTTCTCTCTCCCTCTCCCTTCCTCTCTCTCACGAAAATCAATAAAGAAAAAAAAATTTTTTTAAAAAGAATAAACTAAAGGTTGCCATGGGGAATGGATAGGAGGAGCTATGAATAGCTAGAGAAGGTAGCCAGTTGGTTCTATACTGAACAGTTATTTTCCTAAAATTTCCTCACCAGGTGATTTTTGAATCAAAGCACTGAAGAGTCCAGTTAAAATGCATATATATCACTGGAGACAACAGGTGTCTCCAGTCCCAGCTGTGTATTCCATACCAGTAACCTCTGCTTCCTTTGATTAATGGCTCTCAAACGTAATGGGTGCTTCAGGAATGCCAGCATCTCATGCTTCCCAGCAACTGTGTGGGGTTGGTTATCTCTGGATACCAGAGTGGTAGCAGAGCTGAGTTCAAAGGGAGACAAGCAGAAGGAAAGAAACCATAAAGAGTGACAATGTGCACCTAGGTGGAGAGAGAGCTGTGGGAAGGCATGAGGTGGGAATATTAGCTGGTCACTGAGTGAAGGGAAGGCTTGAGAGCTGAAGTAGCTTTTGAGAAGAATTTCTCTAGGAATAGAAGAGTCCAGTGTAGAAAGAGTCAAATGAAATTAATAAGCTGTATTTATTAGACATTTACTATGCACTAGGTATTATCCTCAGTATACTGGGCACTAGAATGAGACATACCCATAAGTAGATCCACTTTTATATATTTATTTTTATCCTCACCCGAGGACGGAGAGGGAGAGGGGGAGGGGGATGGGGAGAGGGAGGAGAGAGAGAGAGAGAGAGAGAGAGAGAGAGAGAGACATCAACGTAAAAGGGACACGGGACACATCGAGTGGTTGCCACCCCTAATACCCAACCAGGGCCGAGGACAAACTGCAACCGAGTTACGTGCCCTTAGCGGGAACCGAACCCAGGTCTCTCCAGACCGCAGGCCAACGCTCTAACCGCTGAACCAAACCGGCCAGGGCTATAGATGCACTTTTAAAGCACTGTGAGAAGTAAAATTGAAGAATTACACATAGAACATGTAACAAAAGGATGGCTGTCCCTGGGGCTGGTATCATGAAGAAATTAGCAGCTATACTGTTAGTAAGATACAAGAAATCAGAAGTTCTGCCTATTTTACAACATTTTACTGAGCTTATTTAGTTGAAGAGATTTCAGGTCAATAATTTAGCTTCTAGACCTCCTACCATTTAGAAAATAGATTTTGTGTATCAAATGGCTATGTGCAATGCCACCAACCAACTGTGGAGAAGAATTATCAAGAGAATTAAAAAGGAGAGACTGTAGAATCCAGCTTGTGAACTAAACAGGAGTAACTGTTACGTCTCTCTTGTTTACTGCGCTAGCTTCTCAGTGCCCTGCAACAAATACCTGTTAGCCAGTGAGTAAAGGAATCAATGAAATGCTGGTAGGAGATAATTACCAGCACTGGGGCTTTTTGTGTGTTTTTTTTGTTTTTGTGTTTTCCCAGTGGTACTCAGGGTCTGTTTCATTCAATAATCTCCTCAACCATTAATTATCTTAGCCACCCTGATCCCCTGACCTAATTCCAAACCCTGTGTTTTGAAAAGGAAGAGGAGTTGGTTTAAATAATGGGATATTTTCACAGTAGGCACAGTTGGATGAAGTGACAAAGGTTATACTAGATATTTCTCAGCTTCCCAAGTTTTGATAGCTAGTCCTGGTTCTGTAATTTAATCTTGGAGACTTCATGTTTTTAATACGATTCCAGTTAAGTTGAAGGATTGTGTGAACAGGGCAAGAGGAGCAGTAGTTAGTTGTTTTAATGCATTATAAAGACTAAAAATTGCTACCTCTCCTCTTCCCCTTAATTTTATTTTTAAAATATTTAAAATTTTTTCTTGAATGTATTGGGGTGACATTGGTTAATACAATTATATAGGTTCCAGGTGTAAAATTCTATAATACATTATCTGTATATTGTATTGTGTGTTCACCATTCCAAGTCAACTCTCTTTCCATCACTATTTATCCCCCTCTACCCTTCTGTCTCTCCCTCCACCTCCTTTCCTTCTGGTAACTACCATACTGTTGTCTGTGTTTAGGAGTTTGTTTGTTTTTTCTTAATCTCTTCACCTTTTTCACCCAGCCTGGAAACCCTCCCCTCTGACAGTTGTCAGTCTGTTCTCTATGAATCTGTTTCTATTTTGTTGGTTAGTTAGTTTTTTCATTAGATTCCACATATGAGTGAAATCATATAGGACTTGTCTCTCTTTTACTGACTTATTTCACTTAGGATTGCACTCTCTAGATCCAACCATGCTGTCGCAAAAAGCAAGATTTCCTTCTTTTTAAAACAGCTTATGAAGTATTGGTGAAAAGGTGATTGCAAAGGAAACTGATATTCAAATAAACTTCCTGATTTGTAACTAACATCATTTGCAAAGTTTGGAGAAAAGTTAAGTGGGAAGAGTTTACCCGTGAGTTTTCCACCTACTCACTCAGTAAGCATTTACTGGATGTCTGACTAAGTTCATTATACTAGATTTCCATGTAATTAGTTATAAGGTATTTTTTAAAATCTCAAGGTTCTGTCTACAATCTTCTGTGGCTCACTTGTCACTAGCAAAAGCTCACATTTTCATAAAAGACTTTTCTTGAAAATTATCAGTATTTTCTTCTGTTCTAAGTTACACTTTGGGGACCGTCAAAAAGGAGCAATGTCAGGCTAATTGCACCCATCATAAAAGAGCCCAGGCAGCTGGCTTTGATCTTGGGAACCATCTTCAATGCAGACCACTTTGATGTTCCACACAATGGAAGCATAAATATTTTCTATGTACCCCATGATTGGACTTTCAGAAATCTAATTAAGATGAAGGTCAATTAAGAGAAAATAAAATCTGAACTCCAAAAGCCAGAGAAGAGGTGGAAGATGATGGAATGGCTGTGTGTACATAAAAGAAGCTAACCAACCTAATTACAACTTGTATAAACACCCAGAGAAAGTGTCTTTCATGTGAAAAAAGGGTCCTAAAGCATTTTATAACATTGAGATCATTAATGTGTCTTTGAAACACACCCAATAATGGAAAAGAATAGTAATACTGGCATTCAAAGCTCTATTACTAAAAAATTACAGACAGCTAGAGGATAAAAGCACTTTAGAGCTCATCAAACGCAACCCCTTACTTCTTGGAAATGAGCGCCGTAAATGTCTGCAGCATAGCAGTAGCTACTGGATTCTTCGGGGTATGCTGTGCAGAAGAATTTGCCAGTGGTTCAGAAGGCTGCAGGACTGGAGGACCGCCCCTGGATATAGTGCAGCCCAGCATGGCCAGGTCTCCTTAAGCAAGTTCTCTCAGCAATCTATGCCTCAGTTTCTAAGTTTGTAAGGTCAAACCAATAATATTTATCTCATGAGTTTACTGTGAATATTAAATGACAAATGGAAATCCTTTAATCCAGTGCTGCATATTGTAGGTAACAAGAATTGAAAACTCCTCCTTCTCTTCCTCTTTCTCCTGAGAGCATGAGCTTTAGAATCAAACTTCATCTAAGTCCCTTTCATCCACCTGCTTCCCATGCCTCTTTAGAAAGGCTATTTTATCTCCTTGGGCTCCAGTGTCTTGAATTCTAATGTGGAGTAAATTATATCTACTTTCCCAGAAAATTTATGTAGAATCACTGGCACATAGGTAAATGCATGGAAGACAGTTAGTTTTCACTAACTCACCACAGTCTACAGCGTATTTTCAAATAGGGGTTGTTTGTTTATGCATGTGTGTGTGTGTTATATGTGCATATTTCTTTGTATGTAGGGTGCATGTGTATGTTCACCATATGTATATATGTATGTTTATGTAGGATGTGTGTATATGTATGTTATATGTGTATGTAGGGTTTGTGTGTGTGTGTGTGTGTGTATGTGTGTGTGTATGTTAAATACACAGGAGGGAAGAAATATCAGGACATTTCTTCATTGCTGTTACTAATCACAATTGTGTTATATGAAAACTAGAATTTAAATAATGTGGAAAGTCACTTCTAACTGGAAAGGGTAAACAAATTCTCTTTATTCTTTTCTTAGGTGACACATATCATATGAATCCACCCCACCCCTCCATCTTTTGAACTACATCTAAAGATTCTTTCATCTGAGAAGTTCAAAATACACCCACTTATCTATGCATCTTAGAGAAATTCTACTTTTTAATGCCCATAGTTTGGGACAAATAGATAACCAAAATTAACTTATCAGGTAGGTATACATGGTATCTGACCACTGTGGCTTGAATTTGTTCCCAAGGCCAATTAGTTAAATAGTAGATGATAAAATATGATCTTGGGGTATTCCCTCTGACAAACAATGCATTAAGATAAAAATCTATTTAAAGCAGATATAAATTGTTTTTTTCTGAAGTGGTATGACCTTGGTCTCCACAAAGACCCAAATAGTGATTGCTAGAAATGCTAGTGCTTTCTGATCATGTTTTCTTAATTCTATAGTCTGAGTGAAAGACAGAGTGTATTGTTAAATGTGTTATGGGTTATATTTAGAGTTGGTAGAGTTGATTTATCAAATGCAAAGGCCAAGTCCTGCCCTTGGATGTGTCGAATGTATAAATGTGCAACTCTGACCAGAGGAACATCTGCTTGAAATGCAATGTTCCTTTGCTAATGGGATCTTTAGAGCTCACATCAAGTGGAGGTGGGCCCTGGGCACACAGCACCTTCTGGCTGCTGCCATACTCACAGTTCACAGTGACCTTGACTTGTTTGACATCCGCCGAGGAGACCTCATTGGCAGCTTTGCACTCGTATTTGCCTGACTGCTCCCTGGTGATGCCGAGGATCTCCAGATACTCTTCTTCTCCTTCGAATTCTCTTCCTGAAAAACAGAGGTTTGCATGATTATTGTTTAAAGTTTAACGTATGCAGCAGATTGCCTCTTTTTTATTTTTAAGAAGCAATCAATCCACATGACTTTTCAATAATTTGACAATGTGCTTTGTCTGAGGTCAATTCCACAGAAGCAGACCCCAAGACAAAAAGTCATGTGGAAGTGATTAAAGAGGAAATGTTCTCAGGAAAACTGGTAGGTGAGTGGGAAAGTGGGACCTGGCAAGAAAGAAGGTAGGGTGCAATGCCAAGTTTCACAGAAGGCCAGCTGGCTTGACCCCTCAGGGAGTGCATGGGACAGCGCATGTCCCATTTCCAAGTTGTCCTGACCAAGAGGCAAGAAGCTGGAGTGTTTCTATGTCCACATCCCTCAGTCATTGTTTAAGGGCTTAGAACAAAGTGGGACCCAGGGCAGGTGCACACAGCTTGTAAAGGGCTCAGCAGGATGCGGGTGAAGCACTGACGTCATCAGTCATGCCATGCTGCAAAGCACTCTTTCAACCAAGGTCGCTGTTAGAAGGAAAAGTGGCTTTCTTTTGAGAAACTGTTACTCTTCTCCCCCAGTATATGTGGAATTGTGTTCACAAGGGTCATGTTCAAAACCTTGCCTTGCAGTTGTGGCTTCCTGGTTCAGTATGAAACTCCATCATCGCTGAGACTTCCAGGCCATGGACCAGATCCAGGAGACCGTCTACTGCCAGTGTATTTTGTGACAGACTGTGTCACCTGGGGTGATGGTAGGGAGCTAAGTACCATTGGCTTAAATACTTGGGATGAGGGGTTTGGAGGCCCTTTCTGGAAAGTTGTATAAAGTTGGATGTTTCCATTGTGGTAAATAAATCTCAAGATTGGCAGACTTGTATTATTCCCCTCACGTGGAGTAAAAATGATTAAATGACTTTCTTCATGAAGGGAGGTAGGAGATAATGAAGAGGAAGTTTGGGGGGGGGGACAGAGAAGGTAAAGAAGAAAACAGGTTGAGCAGACAGAGGTTGGTCAGAAAGACCTATGGACTTCAACTGAAGCTAAGTTAAACCCACTCACTCCCAAGTTGCAACACCCCACTGCTGCTTGGGTGAGAACAGAGCAGCGGGGAGACTAGGAAAGAGCACAGTGCTGCCATCTTGAAGGAATCTTGCTGCTGGTCACCCTGCACTAAATGGCACCAATTAATAGCTCTGCTCAAATGCCACAAGCTGTTTTCCTTTTCTGGAAATTCCCTGATGACCCCATCAACATGCCAGCCAGCCAGCACAGAGACAAATCCACTGTCTAAATATGTCAGCTAAGCCTGTTAACTAGACTCCCCACAGAACACACAGCCTCTTTGACAACCGTCTACAATACAACTGCAGCAGCACCCCAAACGTCAAGCCTTCGGTCAGCATCTTCAAGGACACTTTGCAACCTCAGTCTTCAAAAGGCAATGGTTATGTACAATTATTTGGTCCTTAAGTCCTAAACATTATTGAGCACACGCTCCTATTAAAAACGTTACAGAGTACGTTTATAAGTATATAGCTGCACATTGCTTATAAAAGGCTAATTTTTTCCTTATCTGTGTTTCCCCCTTTTTCTTCTCCACATTCAAACAAGTAGTGAGACCTGACTTCACAGGCCACAGAAGCAGAATGTGGTAGAAAAGGAAACAGAAATCTCAGAAAGGGGAATAGTCCACTTTATTGGATGAGATGGGCAGGATACTTGCATCTATGGACTGAGAGTCACGCCAGCCAACTGATGCTAAGAATCTTCTAGCTAAACATAAATACCCTGAAGATGAAGAGCAGCTCTGACTGCTGCAGGCCAGCAGAGGTTAAGCTCATTAAACAGCAGTAGTGCAGAAGGGCAATGGACAGTAAGACATAATTACTGATGTTGAGAATTACGATGGGTTGAATGAGAAGAGAGTCAAAGATGATTTCAGAATGTTGTAGGGTTTCTGTCCCACACCTTGTCAACCGTGTTCCCACGTGGGTATAGACATGAGTGAAAAAGAAAGAGAGAGAGAGAACAAGTATGATCTTCTTAGAGACAGCCAACACACGGAATTCTTTTCAACTCCCGTAACATACCTAGAAATGGTGAGTAACAGACCCAGTCCTGCATTTTGAATTTCTGAAAGATATAAACTGGTTCCGAGAGAGAAAAAGAATTTTAGCAGCTGCACCGCCTAAGGCCTTATCAGTTTGGGAAGACAGCACCATAAGAGTGAACATTAAGATAAACTACAGAAAATAAAATAACATTTATTGGGGTTTGGACCGGGGATTTTTCTATGCCAATGTAAGTATTAATCATCTCATTTCTTCTTCTTGATAAGCAGATAATAAAACAGACGCTCATGGGATGGATTTTCAATCCCACATCCTTAGGAAGAATTTCCCCCATTCACGTCAGAGGATAAAGGGGGAGTTTTCCTTAAATGCCCCGCCCATAAGGGAGAAAGATTGTTTTTGCTTCTCCCATGGTAACCCTTTTCCACGCTTATGGCTGCCTCAGTCACAAGCATACAACGTACATGGCTGTTTGTGTAGATTGGGAGGAGTCTCAAGGTGCAACTAAATACAGGTAAAAGATACTAGCCTAATTGGAATTAAAAATATTAAACAACTTCTCTGAGTCCCCCTTCTTGTCATTCTTCCTTCACCCCTTGGATCCTCTAGTGGAAGCTCTTGTTCTTGCCAGTACCTCTTGCTAGACGCTTTCACTTGCATCCATGGGACACTTTGCCCACAACACAGTACCTCTCCTATTTCACCTGAGAATTCATTAATCTACAGTGATTTGAGAGGACATGGGAGCTTTTCTGTTGCTGAAAAGCCAAAGGACCACATTGTAAATTCCTCAAGAACTATACTTTACTTGCAATATCCCTAATAACCAGCCCAGGGTTTGGCAAGAGTAGTTACTCCATACATGTCTGTTGAGTTAGCAGAATTGAAACACAAGCAAAAACTAGGGTCAGGTTCAAGACATCACATAGTGTAAGAGAATGGAGTTAGATATTTGAAGGTGGCTAAGTATTTCTGTAAGAGAAGCTGGTGTATACCTTGCATTTTCCTAATAAGAGCACCCTTTGACTGAGGAAGGACAGGCATGCTCTGTACTCTGCTGTAGGAGGATGGACGGGGCACCTCTGGTAATGTCCTGAGGATGTATCTGCTGTGTGGTTACTGTTTAAGAGAAGGTGCAGAGACAACAGCAGAGCCCCTGTGGAAACAGGATCAATGCCACTTCTTCCATCTGAGCAGCAGCCGTTTCTTGTTTCAAGGCATAGAATACACTGCACTAGTCTTCAGTCACAAAATGCACTCAGATCCTCTTGTCCCTCACCCGTTGCCCCAGTGTGTAGGTCCCCATCGGGGCACCTTTCTCGCATTCTTTCAGTTCGCTCTGGCTAGCTGCCCTTCACCAAGGGTCCTGTCATCATTTCCTTTCACTCACTCAAATTTAAGAAGTCTCTCAAGCCAGAATGTAACATTTAACCTGTTTTTCAGTTCTCTGTGGAATAAAGCCCTATGGCTACAACTCGAGCCCTTCTCTTGTTCTTATCTATTATGTTCTGCCCTTGTATAAATGTTTACTTGAAATGCAAATTTGAATATTTTGCTATTTTAAACATCTTAACCTATTTCCACAAGCTAGCTCACACTGGAGTGTTATATTTATTCTGGGATCTTGTGTTTAGTTTAAATCTTCCTTTGCTTAATGGGTTTTCGTGTCTCCTGGCAATATGCCCATTACCAGGCCAGATAACCCCTCGGCTCCCCTCCCCCGCACAACCTTTCAAATTCCTGCACACAATGGGCACAGCTCCTCTTAGTCACTGTTGACTCAGGTTATATGTATTAGTTCTTTTAATATTTCTTCATAAGTCAGAAAGAAAGGCCTAGAGCTATAGGCAAGAGGGAAGTTCTCTTCTGGTTTTCCTAACATCAGGGAAATCAGTCAGGAGTACTCCAATCAGGACACGCCAGGTGCTGCCTTCTGAGTACACTGCCTTCAGAGTCCTGACTTGGCTTTGGTGAAACTTGTAGAGATCACATCCAAAACGCTGACTTACTTAGATTTCCAAGGTCAACCAGGCATTTGTAAACAAGCAGCCCTTTAAAATGCCTATGTTTTGCCCTGGCCAGTGTGGCTCAGTTGGCTGGGAGTTGGTCAGCGCACTGAAAGGTGGTCATTTTGATTCCTGGTCAGGGCACATGCCTGGGTTGTGGGCTTGGTCAGGGCCATGCAGGAGGCAGCAGATCGATGTTCACTCTCACATGGATGTTTCCCCCTGTCCCCCCACTTTCTCTCTAAAAATCAATAAGAAACTTTGGAAAAATAAAATACATTTCCATGGCTCTTCTCTTTATCACTTTCTCCCTTTCTCTCCTTCCTCTTCCTCTCACCCTAACCCCATCTTCTCTCTCTACACACACACACACACACACACACACACACACACACACATACACACACACACACACACACACACAGGGCTATTTTTATTTATATATAACCTTCCACTCTAACTTTTAAAAAACAGCATACAAATTCACTAACATCCACACATCTGCTCACTAAATAGAGCAGACCTATTCTTGAAAATTCCTCAGGGTGTGAAAACCAGTTCTCTATTTAAATTTTTTTAAAAAACTTATTACTCCATGCCCTGGCTGGTTTGGCTCAGCAGTTAGAACATTGGCCTGCAGACCAGAGAGACTTAGGTTTGGTTCCCACTAAGGGCACATACCTCGGTTACAGTTTGTCCCTGGCCTTTGTTGGGTCGTGTGGGTGGCAACCAGTCGATGTGTCTCTCTCACATTGATGTATCTCTCTCTTTTATCCTCCCTCTCTCCCTCTCGCTCTATCTGCATGAAAAAAATAAATAAAATAAAAAAATAAAAGCTTACTACCCCAACCCTGGCCAGTTTTGCTCAGTGGTTAGAGCGTAGGCCCTTAGACCAAAGAGTCGTGGGTTCAATTTTGATCAAGGGC